AACTGTCTTTTCCTAGCAGTTTTTAGCCCAACATATGTAGTTCCTCTCAAAACCATCCTCTTGCCCTGGACAAAAAATTGCATAGTCAACTTATCAAAATTCTAGGTAATGTCTCCGAGGGTAACCAATCACTCAATTCTAAGCACCACATCACAACATCCTAATGGACTTAGAAGCATATATGAGGTAAATCCCATGTTGTGCACTGTCCAAGGAAACTGCTTAGTAGTGGCAATGATGGTTACCCGAGCCCCATCAGCCACTACTACACTTAAAGGAGGAATAACAGTTAGCGGATAACCCAAGTTTTTAGCTACTGACTCATCCAAGAAATTATGGGTATTGTCGCTGTCAATAAGTATATGCAGGGGTTTCTTCTTAAAGTAACCAGTCACCCTCATAGTTTTGAAGGTTGCTATACTAGTCAAGGCATTAACTGATATATGAGGGTCCAAAGAGGGACTATCACCTTCCTGTGTGTCATCAAGTTGATCTACAACTTGCTCCTCATTGTCACTTACCTTTAGAACATGAATCTTCAATTTCTTATGTGTCAAAGCATGTACAGGGCTGTAGGGTTCATCACAGAAATAGCAAAGGCCCTTAGATCTCCTCTCAGTCATAAAAGCAAGAATGTGTTTCTTATTATAGTGTCTCTGGTTTGAGTGTAGGGTAATATGTGAGTCAATTGACTTATTCAGAGGTTTAGGTGTAGGCAAAATGGCCTTTGTACCCGTATATGTACTTGGGGATTTAAGAGAAAATTTTGTAGGAATGTTTGAAGCAGAAGCTAACTCATACAATTTAGAAAAATGGAATGCCTTCCTTAAATCTTAGGGCTGAAACATTTTGATTGTCATTTGAATATCCTTTTTTAAACCCCTAAGAAATAGCTTAACAAATGTGTATCACTGAGATCCAACCGAGAAGTTATAGCATCAAACTGATCATGATATTCCACCATAGAACTGGTTTTCCGCAATTTCATAAGGTCCAACATAAGATCATCATCAATTTCACCAAATCGATCGATCAATAAACTTGTAAAGTTAGTCCAATTTGGAAGGTTACCTCCTGGAATAGTCTTAACAAAAGAGGTATGCCACTGTAGTGCCTTTCCTTCAAAATGGATTACCGCTAATTTCACACGAAAATATGCAAGAATACCATCAATTGCAAAGTATGTTTCACATTGATAGGTCCACTGTTGGATTGCATCACTGCCAAAGCGCAGGAAATCGATTCTAGCCAAACGAGTGCCACAAGAATAGGTTGAGTTCGAATTGGTGCACCTCTAGAATTAAGACTACGCCCTGAAGCGTCATTTGCGGATTCAGAGGTCCTGTGTAAGGTTTCCAAGATGCACCGATCCATCGATGCTTCAATTGCTTTCCTAATTGAAGCTGTAATCTCCATTAAACGTTCGTGAGTTTCAAAATGATTTTGTTTACCAAGCACTCTTCCTATTAATGTATTGTTGCTTGAAGACGGGTTGCATCGCCATAAATGTTAATGGAAGGTCTAAGCTGATACCATTGATAAAGGAAGTTTTAGGAATATTAAAATATTTGAAGAATTTTTAGAAATTCAAACTTGAATCCGAAATGATGCGAGAGAAGTTTTGAGAAAAAAAATTGTTTTTGTTGTCATAAGGTTTGTTCCCCTCCTCCCTCTGAGCTTATTATTTTTTATTTGAAAAACTAAAAATCATAACAAATGCTACAATCTTCTAACAGAATTGCAACATGATGTGATTAAGTTATTGGCTGCCACGTGGAACCATATGGCTTCTTATTGAATTCCTGTATCACACTTGCTCACGAAACTGCATTGTTGCGCTCGTGTTTCAGCAGCGAGGAGTTTTGTAAGCCTGTTTTGCATGTTTTTGAGGAAACCCTACCTAATCTCTTTGTCATGAACGACGAACGCAACAAGAAGCTAGAAGTGAAATGGACAGAGAACGAATGTTGTAACGATGGAATGGATGCAAATGCTTCTTTGCTCCAAAGGTTGTCCATCGCCTCTTTCCCTCGCTTCTCAGGCTTTTGCCAGTCTGCCAGTGCAGGTACTTTTCATGGGAAACACAATTTGAATTCCGGAAATCTCCAATACTTTCACATTAGTTCTAAAATTGAGAAAATTAGAAAAAAAAGAAAAAAATAGCTTCTAGAAATGCACTTTGGGACTTAATAAGTTTAAAAACTTCCTGAATATCTTGAGTCTTGTTTTTGCTTTTTCCTTAGTTAATAGACTATGGATTTGTTTCAACAAATTTATCCACAGATACTTAGAAAAATGAAATAATTTTTTCATAAGCTTAAATTAGCTCAAACTCATTAATACAGAGAAGCTATATTGGAGAGCTACAAAGAGTAATTTCTTTTTTATGCTAATGTGATATTTATATCTTTATTGTATCTGATATAATGGGCTATTACTATAAACCATATTTCTCTTCCTTTCCATGTGTTCTTATCCTTTATTGGTAACGTTTGATGCCCTTTAGGATCAAAATGGATTTTGTCGTACTATTCATCCTATGCATATACATACTAGCAAAACCTGAAATATTTTTATAGTTGACTATAGGTACTTCTTCTGTGGCAGGGAGAATGAGCTTTATTGGTGCTGATAACATGCAATTCAAGGACATTGTATATTCTCTTTTCACTTTGTTTGGTTATTAGTTATTGTCATACACCTTTTTTAGGGTGGTTTGGATGTTGCACAATGCTGAAAATATTACACATAAGATCAATGTGATATTGTTAATCCAAAAACATAAATCCTGACATAAAAATAACTTCTCAATGTTTTTCGTGTTAGCAATAACCTTATTATTCTTTAGTTGTTGTAGAGTATGTGGCAATAAACAGGGTTAAACTCCAAAATGGGTGCACTAGCGTTGCTCTTGTTCAGTCATTCTTATTTATAAGGTAATTTAAATGGATATTTTTGTGGTCTTATTTAGATCTAAATTTCTATTATTTGTACAGGCTTTGGAGGAGCCATCTAACATTGACACTCTAGCAGTGCATGAAATGTTGGAATCCAAGTGTGAGTCGAAGTCCCACATTGAATAGAAATGAGAAAGTAGAACAGAAAAGATGAATGACCATTAACCCATTGCCTTAAGGTTTTGGGTAACCCACATGTAACCTTCTCCTCGATAGACCCAACAATGGTATCAGAGCCGATGATTTGTCTTGATGACCGACTCACATGAGTATAATGATCTCTATAATGAAAGTCTTCCTGACAAAGGGTATTCAGGTAAGCAATATATAAAGATGAAATACTCCGGGGGGGTTCTCGTATGTTCTTTCTTGCTACTTTATAATGTGTTAGTTTGTTTTATCATGAACTCTGGTTTGTTTAACTAAGAAATAAGGATATCCGAGTTCTCCTAAGTTTTAAGAGATGAATGCATTGGATCTGGATTAATTTGAGTTGGTTTTGTATGCATTGACACGGTCAACAACTCAGAGTTATGGACGAAGATTGGGCTAATTTGTATTTTATATCTGTAAATCGAAATTACAACATTTATTTGAGACCTGAGTTGTCAGATTTTGATGTTTAGAAAATTCAACTGCACCAAATTAGTTCTGAATTTAATTTGGCTCAAAAAATGAAAACGGGTGATTCGAATGAAACAGCACATCTGGCATAACTTTTGCTTTACCTTTTGATTAGTTTAGTTTGGAACAAATGTATGATAAACTTTAGGATATAATAAGATCTATCCACTTTGTAGTTTATTTATTTGCACCGAATGTAATCTGCAAAAGCAAAGGAATATTATAATATAATATTGCTTTTGTTATCCTTTATACGCACTTAGTCACTTACACACCGTCAATAATTTCTTTTGTCCTCAGTAACTGACACTCCACTTAATCTTTTATTTTACTTTATGAACTCTATTTTTCCCTTTCCGAGGGGACTATGGATTCCAAATATGCTTAGAAAATATACTGTTTATTTTTTTTTTTCATATTTCGAAATTTAGATTTTACATTAAACATGAGTCTGAAGCTGATACAAGACCAGGAGGTTGTCTTATCGTATATGTTGCTATTTTTTTTTTTCCTTTTTTTCAAGAAAACAGGATGTCTTATTACACTAAATTGTATAACCTTTGACATGTTCCAGAAAAGACAGGATTAAGAGGTAAAGTGGGATTGTTAAATGTGGTGGTTTGGCTATTTCCTTTGAGAAATGATACTTTGTCTAATGAATTGCTTTATCTTTTAGCTTATTTCCCATTTTCCATTCTTGTTAGCAGTCATTTCCTGTTTCTCTCTCGCGTGTGTAATTTTAGGATGAATAGCTATGTAGAAAAAATTAGGAGGGAATGCTGCCATAGTAAAGAACTTATTGTTTTAAGATATGCTACTATAGGCATATTCACTTTCGTTTCATGACAAAACACAAAATATTGAGAAGATATTATTCCATATCGGTAGATATATTTTTCAATGAAATCAAATTTCAAATATTACTCCATTCAATTTCATTTATTAAATCAACTACCCGTCTTAATTTATTTTAGCTGGCTATACTTATCCTCATCCATAATCTAGAAATTAGTTATCAAGGAGTTAAATACAACCGCTTTATCAGTCCAATCCAGAGTACCAGCTTAACAGCAACAGTAGGCAAGTTTTCATTTCTTAAATATCATTTATTATATCCATTATCTTTTCTTTATCCCAATGCATAACTCTTTACCTTTCCCATTTAAAAAAAAAAGTGAAAAATAATAAATTCTTCCGACAAAGAATTTGGTCGCAGCAGAGAAATTGATGTAACTAATTAACATTAGACGTAATGGATGGTAACAAGAAGAAAAGAAGAGAAAGGGAAGAGAAACAAAATAGGATAAAAAAAATTAAATATAAGGTAATAAAATAATAATTAAAAAAGAAGAGAGAACAAATTTAAAAGAACAAGTAGCCTAAGAAAAGTGAATTAAAAATTGGTATTGCATCTTTGAGATCCTGAAATCCGTGGAAGATCATTCCTAATTTTCCACCATCCAGATTGAAGGAAGAAAAAAAAATCAGAAGAATGGATGATGAAATTGTGATGTTCATGAAGGTGTGGCTCACAACCATCTCATGTCTCTGCTACTGTTATTACATATCTTCTACAATACCAAAAGGATTCTTCAGACTTCTCTCCCTCCTTCCAATTCTCTACCTCTTCCTCATCCTTCCTTTCAATCTCTCATCCTTCCACCTTGGTGGCCCCACCACCTTCTTCCTTGTTTGGCTGGGCACTTTCAAACTCCTCCTTTTCTCCTTCAACCAAGGCCCTCTTGCTCAATCACCCTCAAACATTCTCCATTTCATCTCCTTAGCTTCCCTCCCCATCAGCCTCAACCACAACATCTCCAAACCCAAACTCAAACCCAAATGGCTTTTTCCCCTAAAAGTGCTTATCTTTCCCTTCATCATACATGCTTACAACTACACCCACAATCTCCACCCCTATTTCATCTTATTCCTTTACTGCTGTCACATGTACCTTGGCATAGAACTTTTCTTAGCCCTCACTGCTATCCCGGTTCAAACCCTTCTAGGGTTTGACTTGCAACCTCAATTCGACGAACCTTACCTTTCAACTTCCCTTCAAGACTTTTGGGGTCGTAGGTGGAACCTAATGGTTACTGGTATTCTACGTCCCTCCGTATTCCACCCCGTATACCGTATATCTACACGTTTTCTGGGTCCCTCTTGTTCCGCCTCCACTGCTGTGCTGGCTACTTTCCTTGTGTCCGGACTCATGCATGAGTTAATATATTATTATCTCACACGCGCGCCTCCCACGTGGGAAGTTACCTGCTTTTTTGTGCTCCATGGGGTGTGCACGGTGGCGGAGGTGGCGGTGAAAAAGGTGATGCTCCGCCGTGGGTGGCGGTTGCATGGAGTGGTGTCGACGGCGCTTGTGTTGGCGTTCTTGGCGGCAACCGGGAGGTGGTTGTTTTTTCCTCAATTGTTGAGGAATGGTGTGGAGAAAAAGGCCATCGAGGAGTGTGCAACATTGGTGAATTTTGTGATGTCGAAGCTACAGTTGCATTTGTTAACTTTTTCATTGTTCTGAGAATGTTTCTGGAGAATGATTTTGTTACCATTCTTAAAATAAAGTTACCATTTATGTATCAGAGGATTCGTGATGATGCTGATATTTTGAGGTTTATGTCTATTGTTGTGAAGGGTGTTCACAACCAAATAATTTATACAATTACGGAAGATTAATGTAATAAGAATCGACGGATTAAACTTGGTGTTTTCTAGAAAAATTCTCATTTTATTGTGACTGATACATTGTTTAGGTTTATTTTTTTATTTATTTTTTTTTTAAATTTTCTTTTTGAAAGTGTTATTGCCATGAATTATTATTTTCATTCCTTTGGTATATCAAATAAAATAAGTTTAAATGTTTATTTTGTCTCCAGTTTAGTATCCCATATTAAAAATACTTCTATTTTATTTTAAAATAGTATAAATTGTATTATGTTCACATAAACAGAGTTAACACTAGCTGACAAATCTGCATTTTTTTCTTCTTTCTCCTTTGCATTTTGTATAATGTTCGAGCTTTCTCTCTCTTCTTTTTCACATCAAATTCAACACAAATAAAAGAGAGAAAGATGAAGTATAATGTTCGAGCTTTCTCTCTCTTCTTTTTCACATCAAATTCAACACAAATAAGAGAGAGAAACATGAAAGCCAAGGACAACGTGCCAATACTAACCAAGATAGACTCCGAAATTAGCAGCCTCTCCAATCCTCATCGCCCCCAGCCCGCCACCAGTGAAAAATATACTTTTTATACCAATTTTTAATACATCTTAAAATTCACCAGCTATAAAAGATGATACAGTGCAATTTCGTAAACAAAAGAAACTTTCTACACCTATTATAATGAAATAGTATAAAAAGTGACGTAGAAACAAAATTGTAAATTATTTATCTACATCGAAATTTTGCATCTTCGAGAGCTTCATTCGTCTCTCTCGAGCTTCTTCTTCTTGAGACCACAACTTCATCATCGCGAGCTTCTATCAGGTTTTTCGTTTCACATAATCACTTCACCTTCTCCGATCTTTATTTTTTCTCATCATTCCACTTTTGTACACCGAACCGCTTCCAAAACCCAGGGTTCTTCCTTCTTTCACCATTTCATTCGAGTTGGACCGATTAAAACCACTTTTGAACCGATAAACCCTTTCTCACCGATTATTTTCATTCTCCACTGATTGAACCCTCATTTGCTCCGATCCAGCCCACTTCCACTGATTAATCACTTGTTTTCACCGATTAATCGGTCCAGTCAGTGTCTCTTCAATGTTCTAGGGTGCCTTGTGTCCGGTTAGGGTTCTCACCATTCATTTTCGTGTCTATCGGTCCAAATTAGGTTTCCACACCTTTTAGGGTTCTTGGAGTTTTAGTCATTTTTGCTGAGTCTAGAGAGCTTCGAGGATTGTAAGCATACACATAATATAACTATTTATACTATTTTAAATACTAAAACTATAATATATTTTTTAACGTTAAATTTTATTAAATGATTAATAAAATATCATAATAAATAATAATGTAGCAAAATAATTAATATTATAAAAATATCAAATGATAAAAAATTAACAAACATGAGAAATTTTTCTAATATCCTCTTTTATTATATTATAATAATTAATAAATATTAGTTTAATTTTTACATAATAAAATATAAATGATAAATAATTAATTAATAAAACAATTTTATGAAAAACAAAATAAATATAAATAAAAAATTATTTTAAAATAAAATAAGTAAATAAAAGGATAAAATAAATTATATAAAAATAAAATAATATTTATGACAAAATAAATATAAATAAAAAATTAAAAAATAAAATAAATAAATAAATAATAAAATAATTTCCATATACATAATAATAAAAGAAATATAAATAAAATAGAAAATAATAATATCAAATAATTAAAAAGTTAATTTTTGAAACATTTATGAATAAAATAAAATAAATATTAAAATAAATTTTAATTAAAAATATATTATTAAAGCACTAGTTCAGATTAGTTTTAGTTTATATATTTTGGTAAGAAGTGTAGTTCAGTTTTATTTACGGTTCAATTTTATTTGCTTTATTTGCCCATCCCGCTGTACATTTATGACACACATTAATCAGATATAAAGAATATGAGAAATACAATACAATATATTGTATTCAATATATTGGGATTGCAAATCAATACAAACAAATACAACGAAATACAACGAAACGTGAAATCAAACAATGAATACAACACATGAATCAGAGGCGCAAATCAGATTCAAGATAAAATCAAAGAGACAAAACTAAGAAAAAAAGAAAAATCAGAGGAGAGATACTTATCTCTTGTGGCATGGACGAACCTTGCTCTTGTGCCAATTGATGGAAGAACGACTGTAGGCGCGAAGCGAATCCGGACTGTTGTAAAACACAAAACTGATGTTGAAGATTTAGAGGCCATGTTTCACTTGTATGTCTGGGGTATGCAGCTATTTATAAATCAATTTTTAATATCCTTCGTTTTAAGAAATAACTTAGTCTGCCATAATATTCAGATCTGTAACTTCACAACCCTTGATTGTTTAATCTGAAAATGATTTTTTAGACCAAATTAATGCTAATCAAATGGCCTTAGGTCTTGGTTATGTACCAAGAGTAATAGCGCTTCCTTCTATGTTCTAAGCTCAATTATTTCATTAGCAACATGCAATTCTTTGTTCTACTCTTGTTTTCTCCCTTACTTCAACTTCCTCATCTTCTTATCTAATCTTGTGCTTGTCAAAGCTGAAATTGCTCAACGATTATTCTTTGGGGAAACATGAAAAACATTAGATTATTTTTTACAATTTAAACACTATATGATGCCAAACAATTGTAAGAACATTTTCTATCAGCATTGTATCTTCGTCTTTATTCACTTCCTATAGAAACAAAATTAAACAAAGACGTTACATAACCATAAGAAGAACAGTTAGCCTCGTATATTCTTCTTTTTGCTGTAGATTTGAATTAGTCTTCAATGCAAAGATTTAGTACAGAAGTGAAACTAACACATAAAACTGTATCTATATATGTGTTTAGACAAGAGAGAAAAAGAGAAATATATTAGATAGACAGTTACAAGAAGGGTGGTGAAGGAGAGAAAGAGTTGAAGAGGAGAGTAAGAAAAGAGAAAATGGTGTAAGAAGAGAGGAAGAGGAAGAAGTAGAAGTTTTGGTGGAAAATGATGAAGTAGGCGATGAAAGAGACGGAGGAAAGGATGAGTTTATGATCCTAATTTGGTGCAAAGAGAGATAAAGAACCATGCCACGCGAATGCAGCATGCACGACACTTGTTCCTCTGTTAGCTTATCACTGTCCATTGATCTCCACCTGTTACATTCTAGTTATAGCTATTGCCCAACACAGTTCTTCTTTCCCTTTTCTTCCTTCCTTCTTATCCTTTCTGTTTTCTTCTTAAGAATCTATTTTTTTCCTAGAATAAATTCACATGTCCCGTAGGACAAAATGTTTCTACTATTTTTTACGTGCGTTATGAATATAATAAATGTTTGGTTTTTATGTTTTTATACCAGAAATAGTTTTTTATTTGTTTGATTGTGTTATTATTAGATAAACATTTTTTTATTGTGTTTGATTATTTGATTGTGTACCAGAAATAGGTTTTTATTGTGTTTGATTGTGTCTTTGTGATAATCAATGAAGTTCAACTTTGTGAAAAATACTGATACTTTGTATCTTCACTAGTAAAAAATCGCATTTTTAACTCGCACATTACGCCTCGGTTTTTCCAGAACCGAAGCATATCAAAACGCGGTGGCAGTTTTGTAAATTTTAAACCACTATATGCCTCGGTTGTTAAGCAACCGGTGTCTAAACCAAATACTGCCTCGGTTAAAAAAATGGACCGAGGTATATACTTTAGGTGAAAGAGATACTGCCTCGGTTAACATATGGACTGAGGCATAAGACTATTAAAACTTGGGCTTGGCCCGTGCAAATCT